CTATTTTGCAAAATTGGACGGGTCATCCGGGTATTTCCCACTATTTCCTCCAGATTTTCTCTCACGAACATACAAGCACTGTTTATTTTGTTACAGGACTCCGAACAATGGAATTACGAACGCCATGTTTGGCTAAGCTTAGAACTCTACTTATAAATACAAAAGGAGTTTTAACATAGATATTTTGTCACTACATATTAATAGAGACATGCGTCGCCATTTTCAATCTTCATCAAAAATCCTTCTTTGTTTTATTCCCTGAAATTCGTCAAAATTTTCCACACCGCCATTCCTGCTTTTTCATTATGTCACGCATTCACCCACTCCTCCTCCATTTTCTCATGCAACCTCCCATGGCAAACTTCTCATTCATTTGCATTTGTAAGGCTAATGCTGTCAAAAAATAGATTTTTTGCTCATAGAAGAATTTGGTAAACTCGTGCAGTTAGAATACACCTCATGTTTCTATTATATTTTCCCTATTTCTTTATGTCATTATATAGCCATTTATTTATATTAATTCTTCTTCGAATCCTTTGGAGTTTTAACCTGGCTCAGCCTCTTCGTCCTCTTTGCATTTTCGTCGTCCTACTTCATCTCATCTTTGCTAGAATCAGTAGGTTTTGTTGTCACATTCCAGACTTGTTTCTTCTTTTGGGTTTTGTTTTAGATTGAATTTGTAGGCCTTTTCACCATCTCCGAAGGGGAGATCTTATAAGAGTTCTTCACTTTGACAAGCTTTTCTGATTTCACGAACCTTTTCAACTGGGCCGAGAGAATTTTATTGATTTGGGGGTTCAAATTTAATGGATTTTATGAGATGTAAATATATATATAATGAACTTTATGTTTGACTGCGTTGGTTAAGTTTTAAAATTGAGATGGATGCTTTAGATTAGAGACTTGAGTATGAGGATTGGATGATTTTTTTGGGAGAATTTGGGATTTGTCAAATTTCGCTCTTATGGTAACTCTCCAACAACATAAAATAATTCACTTTTTTATATGGATTATAAAGATTTCGTTGACTTATTTAATCAAATTTATATAGTCGAAAAAAATGTTATTGCTAGCATTGTAACAAAAAAAAAAACCTCCGTTTGCGCACGAACACATTTTTTTTTTTAACCAATAACATTGTTTTTAAGGCAATCAACAATGTTTTTTTAAGTCTTTTTTTTTTACATTGCTACCAATAACAATTTTTTTTTTACTCATATTCACATTCTAAACTACCTGTAAGTCCATTTCCTTATAATTGGTTACTAACTACATAAAGTGTACTGTCTTCTGCACATTTATTGTTTTTTTAACCTTTCTAACTAAACTTTGTTTCCGAACAGAAATATGAAGTTCGAAAGCATATGACACGCTCATTTTCAGTTCTTGTAAATGTTAGAACCAGAAGCTTAAGGCAGACAGATTTATCTGGAGGTTTAATACATGTAATGTCAACGGTCTAGAGGTCTTCAACAAATGACAATGCATCCCAAGATATATCCCCTGAAAGAGAATGTATCCACATTTGCATATGTTAGTAATTCTTTTAAATGTTGAATCCAATATTAATATCCATATTCAATGAACCACATTTTACTTACGTGGTTAGACGTATTAGCAATGGAAAGCACTATACTTAAATTTCGAAATGACCTTCATTACCTTGTTCTTTTTTAGGGAACATTCGTTTAGTTGGTATATGTTTGTGTTTATTAGTGGTTCTTTTCCTTCCGATAAATTGTAAATTTTGAGGTTGTGACTAATTGTGTAGTGAATTAAATTAATTATTCTGCTATCTTAATCATTTTTTATTTTGTTTATTCTCTTTATTTTGTGAAATTATTTTAATGGTTATTTATAATATTTTCAGCTGCATAATGAAATCATAATGAGCTTAAATTAACATGACTCATTCCAATAATCAGTTTATGAATAAATCACCAGACAAACTTTAAAAATATTTTCTGACGTAACCCATAAGGTTCTTTTATGATTTTCGTTAAATTTAGAAGATTGTAGTTTCTTAAGTTTTCCCCTGTGAATTTATCTAAATCCCACCCGTGTTAATATTTATTTGTGTTTTGATTTCTTAATTATAAACATGTTCCCACTTTAAAATTTTTATTAGAATAATTCATTAATGTTGAAAATTTTCAGTGCCCAAGTACAATATGAGATATAGTTCGATACTTTCTCGACCTTAACGTTAATCCAGTATTTTTAGTCTATGCAGTGGTAATGATGAACTCA